CACCTCTTGAGCAGGTGGGATTCAAATCCAGGCCCAGAGATAGGGACATTACCACTGCACCACAAGAGCCGCTGGGTCTGCTTTATCTTATTTTTTCATATCTGGAAGTGTTAACACACACCACCAAATGATTTTCCCACCACCAAATCACTATAACTTTTTTTTTTGTTTTCTAATTTAGGGAAGGAAACTGCCATCCTTAACTGGTCTGGCCTACACATGACTCCAGACCCGCAACAATGTGGTTGACTCTTAATGGCCCCTGGACAATTAGGGATGGACAATAGTGCTGGCCTGGCCAATGATGCCCTCGTCCTATGAATGAATGAAGAAAATCTATCAACCACCACCAGTAAACATCCAAACAGCCTATTGGATACAACACTGAAAGCCCATTACGGGCAATGCAAACCATCAAAAGTGAGGGAGGAATAGGAAGTGCGGGAAAGGCGTGGATCTGCTTTATTTTATTTGTATTTTTATATGTTTGGATGTGCTGTTATGGACAACTGAATGGCTTTCCCACAATCAAATCACCAAGACATTTTTTTTGTCTTTTAACTATCAACCATCACCAGTAAATCACCCGTGTAGCCAATTGGATATTTTCATGCAAAGCCCATTACAGTCATGGGTCTGCTTTATTGTTTTTTCCCTTGTCTCTAAAGGGTGGCACAGTGGCTCAGTGGTTAACTATGCTGCCTCACAGCGCCAGAGTTTGATTCTACCCTCGGGCGACTGTCTTTGTGGAGTTTGCATGTTCTCCCTGTGTCTATGCGGGTTTCATCTCACAGTACAAAGATGTGCAGGCTAGATGGATTAGCTATGGTAAGTTGCCCATAATGTCCATGGATGTGCAAGCTAGGTGGATTAGACATGGGAAATGCGGGGTTACAGGGATAGGCTAGGGAGGTGGGTCTGGGTGGGATCCTCTTTGGAGGGTCAGTGTGGAGTCAATGGGCCAAATGGCCTGCTTCCACACAGTAGAGATTCTATATTAAGATGTGCACTTAAACACAACTGAAAAGCTTTCCCACTACCTAATCACCATGACATTTTTTTTCTGTTTTTAACTATCAAGCACCACCTGTAAAATACCCATGTAGCCAATTGGATATTTTCGTGCAAAACCCATTACAGCATGGGTCTGCTTTATTATTTTGATTTATATGCAGAAGTGCTTTAACATAAAACCAAATGGCTTTCCCACTACCTTATCACCGTGACCTTTTATTTTAGCCACTAACCACCACCAATAAACCACCTGTATAGCCAATTAGAAATTGATATGCAATGACCATGACAGGCAATCTGGGTCTACTTTATAAAGGGCTCAAGCAATGACTTCCAACTAGGCGCTCCATTGCCTTTTACCAAGGGAACTCGTATTCAATGTGATCCATGAGGAGATTAATTAGTAATTCCCCATGGGCCTTGTTGGCATTATCACAATGGGCTTGGCATCTTCTTACAGAGCAATGTGATATATCTACTTCATTTTGCTTAAACCTTTTTGCATATGTTTGGAAATTCTTGCTAAAATCTTAGCCTCATAGATGTTTGCAGCACAGAAAGAAGATGCATGGCCCACTGTGGCCCTGGGCCAGTCAACAAAGTTCTGACTACATTAATCCCATTTTCTAAGCTTTGGCCCATAGCCTTAATGCTCTGGCAACAAAAGTGATTATCTAAACATTACTAAACAACAATCTATCTACTTAAACTTGAAATTTTCAGTTGACCTCAGCTAGTGCTGGAAAGTCTTGTGTAGGTTTAGATTATTTTTGAAAAGTACAGACTCGATGGGTTGAAGGTCTCTTCTGTACTGTTGATTCTTTGATTCTATTCCTTAAATATTACAGGAGTTTCAGACTCAACTACCCTTTGGGCCATTGAGTTCCAGACTCTCTCTCTTCTCCAAGTGAAAACACTTCTTCTTGACTCTTTTATAGAGTCATACAGCACGAAAACCAACCCTTCAGTTCAGTTTGTCCATGTTGACCAAGGTCCCCAAACTAAACTAGTCCCTCTTGCCTCCATTTGGCCCATATTCCTCTAAACCTTTCCTATTCACGTTCCTGTCCAAATGTCTTTTAAATGTTGTAACCATCGATACCTCAGCAAACACATTGACAGGCACCTCCCACAAACTCTGTGTAATCCAATCTCTCCTTCCTCATTTTTTTTGGACTAAAGAAGTTCCAAAATAATTTTAAATGAAAAATTATTTGCTTTTGCTCTAGAAAAACGGGGCAAAATTACAAGAAAAACTTCCAACACAGCAACAGATGCAAGATCCACCCTACTCTCCTTCTGCCATTTTTAAAATCATATTTCTACCTATTACCTTAAATCTACGTCCCTGGTTATTGGCACCTCTACTAATTGAAAATTGTAGCTTCCTATCCAGGCTATCTATATCCCTCATAATCCTATGCACCTCTATCAGGTTCTCTGTCAACCTTTACTGCTCCGAGAAAAACAACCACAGCCTATTCAATCTTTCCTTATTGTTCAGGCCCTCTAGCCCAGCAACATCACGTCCTGTCCCTCCTCATTCTCAATCTATCTCTGTTAATTGCACTCACCTCCAACCAAGAGTCATACTCTACCGCTTTCACTATTGCAGGCAATGTTTTCCTTTGCTTGCTGTCACCACTCGACTAATCCTTGCATGTCCTGTCCGCTGTCCACTCGCTCACTTGGGTCACCTCATGGCTTTTCTCTCACCTGCATCAGCACTAACAGCTGTGATAGTCAGTTTCACCTCACTTAACCCCTCTTATTACAGGAGAAAACTATCCACAACTGGGTCAAAAGAGCCAGGTGCTGGATATTTGTCTGCTTGCCTGTACAAGAATAGGATCACCCACTGGGCATGCCCTGAGACATTGGTGCAGAGGAGAGAATGGTGAGCTGGAATTGCCAGGTACATGCTCACAAATTCTTGGCATCTAGTTTCTATCCGGCTATTCACAATATATATTAATGATTTGGATGAGGGAACAAAATGTAACTCCATGTTGATAACAAATGTAATCTCCAAGTTTGCAGATGACACCAAGTTGGGTGGGAGGATGAACTGTGACGAGGATGCAGAGATCCTTCAGCATGATCCGACAAGTTGGGTGAGTGGGCAAATCAATGGCAGATACAGTATAATTTGGATAAATGTGAGGTTATTCATTTCAGAAGCAAAAACAAGACGGCTGATTACTACCTGAATGGCTGTAAATTGGGAGAGGGGAGTGTGCAGTGGGACCTGGGCGTCCTTGTGCACCAGTTGCTGAAGGTAAACATGTAGGTGCAGCAGGTGGTAAAGAAGGCAAATGGTATGTTGGCCTTCATTGCGAGAGTTTTCGAGTACAGGAGCAGGGATGTGTTGTTGCAATTATACAGGGCCTTGGTGAGACCACACCTGAAATATTGCATGCAGTTTTGGTCTCCTTTTCTGAGGAAGGATGCTGTTGCTGTTGAGAGAGTGCAGTGAAGGTTTACCAGGCTGATTCTGGGGATGGCGGGTCTGACGTAATAGGAGAGATTGACTAGGTTGGGATTGTTTTTGCTGGAGTTCAGACGAATGAGGAGGGGATCTCATAGAGACTAATAAAATTCTAACAGGACTGGACAGGGTAGATGCAGGGAGGATGTTCCCGATGATGGGTGTGTCCAGAACCAGGGGTCACAGTCTGAGGATTCTGGAGAGAGGATTTAGGATGGAGACGAGACATTTCTTCAGCCAAAGAGTGGTGAGCCTGTGGAATTCATTACCACAGGAAGTAGTTGATGCCAAAAGAGTGAATGTATTCAAGAGGTAAGTAGATATAGCACTTGGGGTGAATGAGATCAAAGGTTATGGGGAGAAAGCAGTGTTAGGCGATCGAATTGGATGATCAGCCATGATTGTGAGGAATTGTGGAGCAGGCTCAAAGGGCCAAATGGCCTCCTCCTGCTCCTATCTTCTATGTTTCTATGTTAAATGACCTTTCACTGCTTGCTAGTGAGAATCTCTAGTGAGAGCCCATCTGCCTCTTTTTTTTAAAGCTTCCAATGAACTAGCCTCCAAACTCTCGGGGTTGGGGGTGGTACTGTGGGGAAGAACTCCAGACATTCACTCTGGGAGAAGAAATTCCTTCAGCTTTGAAGTGAGAGTCCCGCTTTACTCTGTAACCCAAATTTCAAGGATCCCCGCTGATGAAGACACCCTCTCAAATCTGATCTGCAAAGCTTAGAGACAGTGAAAGCACAGGCTGTTCACCCTGTAGGCCTTACGTTTGCTAATATACTATTGTCGCAGTCCTTCAGTTTGAGATGTTTCTCTATGCTACAAACAGAACTTCAAATGACCTGCTGGCTACCAGGATCAGCATTATTCTCTCCTTAAAAGTCTCATGATTTTGGATCAAAATGCGTGTTACCATCTTTCTGAAATGACCCTTTCCTCTACTGGACAGACCTCCAGAATTGTAACAAAAACAGAAAATGCTGAAGAGGTTCGACGGGTCTGACCGCATCTGCAGAGAGAGAAACGGAGTCAACTTTTTGAGTCCAGTGACCCTTGTTTCCATTTATTGCTATCACTTGTTCCTGAGTAGAGTGAAAAGTTTTGTTTTACGTGCAGTACAGGCAGAACATGACATACAAGGACACACAGATCACTGTGTGTTTTGACGGAGTCCAGATTTGTGATAGGTGCTCTGCATTCTCAGCCTGGTGAATGGTGTGGCGGCTGGGGGCGAACTCCTACCACCAGCTGCCAGCCAAGGGTGAGAGGAAGTAAGAGAGTGAGACGTGAGGCTGCGTAATTCCATGGCGACGGACTTGCGTGATGACGTCGGCAGACCCCCTATATAAAGCGGCCATTTCGGGCGCCTGCTTTTCAGTCTGGCGCCGGGGGCTGCCAGGCGCGGATTAGGGTGTGTTGTGTAATGCCTGAGTGAATAGGCCTTCACCCTTTGCCTTCCCCTTCTCCTCCCAAAGCCCACCGAGAGACTAGAAAGATGGTGAAGATTTTCGTGGGTAACGTGCCGGGTGCGTGCTCGGCGGCCGACCTGCGCGGCCTGTTCGAGGCCTACGGCCTGGTCAACGAGTGCGACGTGCTGGGCAGCTACGCCTTCGTGCACATGGAGAAGGAGGCGGAGGCCAAGCGGGCCATCTCGGAGCTGCGGGGCCGGCTGCTGCGGGGCTCGCCGCTGACGGTGGAGCTGGCGACGGCGCGGCTGCGGAACGCCACCAAGCTGTACGTGGGCAACGTGGCGGAGGCGGCCACCACCCGGGAGCTGCAGGGGCTCTTCGAGCGCCACGGCCGGGTGGTCGAGTGCGACATCGTCAAGAACTACGCGTTCGTGCACATGGAGAAGGAGCGGCAGGCGCTGGACGCCATCCGCGCCCTCAGCGGCACCGAGCTGGCCGGCCAGCGCATCTACGTGCAGCTCTCCAAATCCAACCCGGTGCGGGGGCCTGCCGCGGCGGCCGGCATCCCGCCCGGCCCTTTCCTGCCCCCAGCAGAGGCGGGGTCCCCTTTCCTGTTACCTCCGCCCCCACCCCCGGGTTTCCCGACCCGCCGCCTCCCTTACCCCCCACCGCCGCCCCCTCACCATCCCCTGGCCCCCCGCTACTACCGTTACGACCCTTACGGCCGCCGCCTCTTGCCACCTCCTCTCCCTCCTTTGCCCCCCCTGCCCCCTCCTCCTCCTCCCCCTCCGCCCTACGCCCGGGACCCCCGCCGTGCCTTGCCCCCACCCCCACCCCCTCTGCCTCCCCCTCCTTACCTGAGGGGTGCCCATCTCCGCTGTGGCCAGCACGATGGTCACCTCAGCAACGGCTATGGTAGCAAAATTTGGGGCTATTGATTCATATTGTTTCATTCCTGGGGATGGGGGGGATGTGCTGAGGGTAGGGAGTAGGATGAGGGATGCAGAGAGAAGAGGCAAGGGTTTGCACGTTCTCCCAGTGTCTGTGCGGGTTTCCTTTGGGTGCTCCGGTTTCCTTTCACAGTCCAAAGATGTGCAGGCTGGGTGGATTGGCCATGCTAAACTGTCCATAATATTCTCAGATGTGTAGATCTGTTACAGGGAAAGGGCACTGGGTCTGGGTGGGGTGCGCTGAGAGTCGGTGGGGACTTTTGGGCCAAAGGCCCAGTTTCAACACTGTAGGGATTCTGTGATCTATGAAGGGGGAACTAGTGTACTGTAAAACCAGGGAGGGTACCGGAGGACCATTGGGCTTCAATGGTGATGTTCACTATGACATCTATTTGTTCCCCCCAAATCATGTCAGGGTGAACTGTTACCATCCAGGGTGTGGGTGTCTAACACACTCTGGGAGTGTCTAAGGCCTGGATGTTGCAAGCCTGCTCTACAGATATCGATGAACCCAATTACTGGAACAGTTCTCTCACTCGTCAGGACTGACATTAGGAGGCAAATTGACAATGACTTTTGTAAGAGATGGAGTACAGGCTGTGCTTGGGCAATCCATGCCGCAAAAGACTTCTGAGATTTGGCAGCACTTGCTGAACAATCCTAAATGCACTTGTTGCACTTGAAAGTAGTGTGTGCCGGGGCCTGTTCTGTACAAGCAGAACTTCACGCTTCAAGCCTTTTGAATTATCCAGCACCATGGTGTAGTTCTCTTCTGTTGGTTTCTCCATGGCAGTTGGCTATTTTGCCAGCAAATTAGCAGCCCTTTCTCTTGCAGTATATATTGTGAAATTTGGCATTCTTGTGTTTTGTCCTGATGAGTGTTTGGCAGAATGCTTAGCAATATCTCGATCTTCAATAGTAGCATTGCTTGCTCCTCTCTTTCTCCCCCATTCACCACCGTCAATGCCCTCTGTCAGTCTGCTTTGGGTGCTATGTAAAAGTTGTCCCCATCTTAGTGCGTTTTTAAAAGGGGTGAATCCTTTCATTAATGGTGGCATCTGACCTGGCACTTGGCTCTGCAAAGCGAGCCGGAATGCCTGTATTTGAAAATTTTAATCTTCTTTATCTCTCTTTTTTTTTCTTGTTTCAAGAGACGCTGCAGTTGCGGATGGGCAACGGAAGACGTGGGCTGCGGAAGATTGACTTTTTGCCACAAACCCACCCCCTTGCCCCCTCCCCTGGTGACAGCGCACATCTGTCAGATTAGGACATGGACTGGGGCAAGGGGGTTTGGAAGTGGGGTGCTTGAGGTGAAGTTGCAATGTAGCTGGGGGTGCCCAGAGCCCTGTTGCCAGTTTGCAGCGGCCCCATATTTTGCATCTGTCTCTAGTTTGTGTTCCTCTGCTCCTTTCTGCTCTTTTTTTCCCCCCCCGCCCCAAATCCAGCTCGCCGGGGGTTGACCGAAACAGTCCGCACTTGGGTCGGCGCTAGTAACTGAAGCCTCGTCCGTATAAAAGTTAACCGGGTTTGGACTGGCATCGGAGGGGGTGAAAGTGTGACCGAGCCCAGATTGGCTGCCGAATGGCTGTTCCGTCTTTAAAAGGACCGCCGCTGTAGATTTGCTTTGCCAGTAACGTGTGAACTGTAACCTGTTGCTTTGTCTATCGCAGTGGGTTGGGGGTTGGGTGTGGGTGGGTGGCAGAGAAACGGACGCGCTCAGTTTGATGTGTAGAATGTCGGAAAGCAAACCATTTTGTAACGTGCCGACAAGTTGTAATTGCTTTTGCTTTTATTCGGACGTCACGTTCTTTTTTTTTACAAAACACCTAAATCGGCTAGCAGACGAAGACGGTGTAGAAACCAATGTAATCGCCTCTGTACTTGTCGTTTCCTATTCGACCTTGTGTGAATAAAATTTGTGACGGCTCTCGGGTTTCCTCGATTTTCGGCTGTATTTGAAGTGGGTTCCTCCTGTCCTTTTTGATTTAACTCTCTTCCTGGGGCTCCGGCATTTCTTTGCATGGCATCTAGGGCTCTATAATCCACTGCTGATTCTTCTGTTGGGAAGCAACTGAGTTCCAGATCTGGTAAGTGCATTTACTCGAGTTTTGGTAGTCTAAATGTAACGCAGGGGTTTTTTTTAATATTTTTTTCCAGTCCATTCACCTTGGCCAGTGCAAGTCCTAACTGTCTCCTTAACTCGCTATGTTTGTCCAGTCCAATGCAAGTGAGATTGACCTCCCTGCTTAGATACGTAAAGCTCTTGAAAGGGTATCGAACCCTTTCAAAACATCTCTTGGTTTCCTGACCCAACATAGCTACCAGTGACGGCTGCTAATAAACTTTCAATGAGCACATGGTGCTGATTAGGACGTGCATAGAAGTGTGATTGTCTGATTTTTGAGTGGGCCTTGGGGAACGGCAGCGTGATGGAGATGGCACAGTGGCCAGAACTGCTGCCTTATAAGGCCAGGGACCTGGGTTTGATTCCAGCCTCTGGTGACTGCAAACTCCACACAGACATTCTCCCTGTGTCTGCCTGGGTTTCCTCCTGCAGGCCAGAGGTGTGCAGGTTAGGTGGATTACCCATGCTATATTGTCCAGGAGTGTGTAGGTCATGTGGATCAGCCGTGGGAAATACGGCCTTACAGGGATAGCATGGGGGTGTTGGGCGCTTTACAGACAGGCAGTATGGATTCAATGGGCTGAATGGCTTGCTTCCCCACTGTGGGGTTTCTATGATTTCTGTGAATTTAATGGATTTGGGCATGGCTGAGGTTCTTCACACAGTAACCTTTCTTCTTTGCCCCTGCCCCCACTTTCAGAGATCTGAATTGAAGTTTCATCCATGTAGAAAGCTCCATTACTGTCAAGATTTGACGCTATGTGGCCTCTGATCTGCCCGCCCACCCACCCTCAAATTTTGTCTATAGTGTTTGATCATTCACCCAAAAGTTGGATGGTGGAAATTTGGGTATTAAAATTCCCCAGGACCTGGCTTTTACCCTCTGGTTCAAGAGAACTAGCTGTAGAAATGGTGGATGAGCTGGCAAATGGGAAATGTAACTGTGCCAATGAGAGAAGGGGAGCTTTAGCCAATTAGGCTGGCATTTCGTGGCTGAAAAATGCTGGGACCTCCCAACTGGAAGGGTTAACCCAAGCAATTAGAGAATCTGTCTAACCAGGCAAGAATGGCTGTGGTCTTTTTTAAGAATCTAACTAGTAGGCGAGATAAAGGGGATCACTAGAAGTATTTGTATAAACTTGTTCTTGTATATAATCTTATGTATGGATTTCCAGAAGTATCATGATGCCAGGTTATAGTTCGAGATTTATTTGAAATTGGAAGCTTTGGGAAGTGACTAAGTAGCAGTGCTCAAAAGTTTTTGATTTCAAATAAACCTCTTGGACTGTAACCTAAAGTTGTATGACTTCTGACCTTGTCCACACCAGTCCAACACCAGCTACTTGACATCAAGGATTTCCAAAAGACATTGCTATGTTGTTCCTCCGTTCAAGAACGGATTTAGGAATAATCCAGGAAACTGTAGACTGGTGAGTCTAACATCTGTGATTGGGAAGCTATTGAAGAGAATCCTTAGGGATAGGATTTATGCACACTTGGATAAGCACAGCCTGATTGGGGACAGTCAACATGGCTTTGTGTGGGGCAGATCATGTCTTGGTAATTTGAATTCCTCAAGGAGGTGACAAAGGCGCTTGGAGGGTAGAGCAGTGGATGTTACTTACATGGCTTGTAGTAAGTCTTTCAACAAGGTCCCTTATGGTAGGCTCATCCAGAAGATTAAGACTTGGCCATGTGGTATCAGAATTAGAAGAGAGAGGGTAGTGGTGGAAGGGTATTTTTCAGACTGGAGGTCCATGACTAGTGTCTGGGATCTCTGCTGTTTGTGATATGAAATATATAATATGACGAGAATGAAAATGTAGATGGTGAGCTAGTAAGCTAGCAGAAGATACAAAGATCAGCGGAGTTGTGGGTAATGTAGAAGGCTGTCAAGGATACAGCAAGGTATAGATCAGTCACAGATATGGACAGAGAAATGGCAGATGGAGTTTAATCCAGCTAAGTGTGAGGTACTGCACTTTGGGAGATCAAATGTTAAGGGAAAGAATTGTTATTGGCAGGACTGAACAGCATTGATGTACAGAGGGATCTTGGGGTTCAAGTCCATAGCTCCCTGAAAGTGGCCACGCAAGTAGATAGGGTGGTAAAGGTGTATGGCATGCTTGCCTTTATTGGTTGGGGAATTGAGTACAAGAGTCAGGATGTCCCATTGTAGCTTTATAAGAATATGGTTAGGTCACACTTGGAGTATTGCGTTCACTTCTGGTTGCCACATTACAGGAAGTATATGGGGGCTTTGGAGAGGATGCAGAAGAGGTTTACCAGGATGCTGCCTGGATTAGAGAGTATGAGGTATAAGGAGAGACTAGAAAACTCTGGTTGTTTTCTCTTGAGTGGCTGAAGGGAGACTTGATACAAGTCTATAAAATTAAGATGCATAGATAAGGTTGATGGTCAGAATCTTTTTCGCAAGTCAAAATGCCTAATTCTAGGGAGTGTGTATGTAAGGTGAGAGAAGGAAAGCTCACAGAAGATGTGAGGGGCAGGTTTTTAGGAGTCTGGAAGAGGTGATGGTGGAGGCAGATATGATGAGGGCATTTTTGGGACTTTTTAGATAAGCATATGAAGATGCAAGGAATGGAGGCGTGTGGACCAAGGGCAGGCAGAAGGGGACTAGTTTAATTTGGCGTCATGTTTGGCACAACATTGTGGGCTGACGGGCCCGTTCCTGTACTGTTCTGTCCTATAGGATAAGTCATGCTCGTTTTAGTTAAGGGATGATATTTTGGCATGGATAGTGGAATAAACTGATGGAGAGAAATTGAGAAACAAATATGTGGAGAAATCTCTGATACATCTAAGAATAAGAAGGTTGTAATACTGGGGTATTTTAATTTTCCAAACATTTGACTGGGGCTACCATAGTGTTAAAAGTTTGAATGGTGAAGAGTTTGTCAAACGCAAGAAAATTTACTTTATCAATATGTGGATGTTCCTACTAGAGAAGGAGCAAAACCTGACCTCTTGGGTAATAAGGCAGACTGAGTGACTGAAGATAGGGGAGCACTTTGGGTCCAGCAATCATAATCCTATTAGTTTTTAAAAGGGTATGGAAAAGGATAAACCTGTAAAAGTTGTTTTTAATTGGAGTAAGGCAAATTTTATTGGTTTTGAGACATCAATTTTCAAAAGTTGATTGGAGTAGACATCGCAGGTAAAAGGATGCCTGACTTGTCGGTGGCTTTCAAGAGTGTGATGAGAACTCCCATTAGAGTGAAGGGTAAGGCTGGTAAGATTAAGGAACAGTGGATGAATAAAAATGTTGAGGTTCTAGTCAAGAATCTTCTATTTGATATAGACAACTGGGTTCAAATGAATTTCAATATAAAGTGTAAGGCCATTCTTGGGCAGGAAATCGGGAGAGCAAACAGGGGATATGAGATAACATTGGCAGGTGGGTGTTAAGGATAATCTGAAGAGTACACTAAGAGTAAGAGGGTAACTAGAGACAGGATAGGGCTCTTTAAAGAGCTTTGGGATAACCCCAAGGAGATGGGAGAGATATTCAATGAATATTTTGCATCTGTATTTACAGCGGAGAAAGAAATGGAGGCTAGAGAACTCGGGGAAATAAGTATTGATGTTTTAAAACAGCTCACCATTGAAGAGAAAGTTTTGGAGACTTGAGAATAAAGTCAGTTAAATCTCCAGGACTTGATCTAATGTATCCCAGAATGCTGTGGGAAGTGAGGGAGGAAATTGTGGGGCCCATTGCAGAAATATCTCCATCATCTAACTACGGGTGAGGTGCCTGATGACAGCTAATGTTATGCCTTAATTTAAGAAGGGTAGTAGGAGAAATTGGGGAACTGTGGACCTGAGTGTCTGACTTCGGTTGTGGGTAAGTTGTTGGAGATGATCTTAAAAGATAGGATTTATAAACATTTAGAGAGGCAAAAATTCATTAGGGATGGTCAGCATGGTTTTGTGAGGGAAAATCGTGTCTCATAAATTTGATTGAGTTTTTTTGAGGAAGTTACCAAAAAGATTGAGGGTAGAGCAGTAGATGTTAATTTGGACTTTACTAAAGCCTTCAAAGTTCTGTATGGCTGACTAATTAAAGTTAGATCACATAAAATTCATGAACTCACAAATTGGATACAAAATTCGCTCAACAGCAGGAGATAGTGGTGGTAGAATATTGCTTTTCAGACTGGAGTCCTGTCCCCAGCATTGTTCCACAGCGATCAATCTGGGTCTTTTTTTTTGTCACTTACATAAATGATTTGGATGAGAATATAGAAGACATGGCTAGTGAGTTTGTGAACGACACCAAAATTGGTGGCATGTTAGACAGCGAAGAAGGTTTAAGATTACAAAGGGATCTTGATCGAATGGGTCAATGGGCTCGAATGGCAGGTGGAGTCCAATTTGGATAAGTGTGAGGTATTGCATTTTGGTACAGCAAACGGGGTCAGGACTTGTACAATTAATGGTAGGGTCTTGGGTAGTGATGTAGGACGTAAGGACGCGGGAGTGCAGATGCATAATTCTTTGAAGTTTACGTCATAAATAGACAGTGGTTAAGGCATTTAGCACACTTGCCTTCATTGCTCAGTCCTTTTGAATGAGTTTGGAAGTCAATTGATGTTGTACAGGACATTGGGGCCTCTTCTGCAGTACTGTTCAGTTTTGGTAGCACTGTTATAGGAATGATGTTATTAAGATGGAGAGTTCTGAAGAGATTTACTAGAATGTTGCCAGGTATGGAAGGTTTGAGTTATGAAGAAGGGCTGGAGCTATTTTCACTGGAGTGTAGGAGATTGAGAGGTGAACTTAGGCTGATAAAATCATGAGGTATAGATAGGCATAATGGTGGTTGTCTTTTCCCTAGGATGGGGAATTTGAAGACTAGGAGGCATATTTTTAAGATGAAAGGAGAGATTTTAAAGACACGGGGCGGGGGGGGCAAATTTTTTTTACATAGGGTGGTTGGCA